GTTCCGGTCATTAAATACAAAAAAATAGATTTTTAAAAAAAGGTGCGCTTAATTCCGCAACTCACCGTAGCATATGTACCGCAATATCGAAAATCGGATTTACATTATCGAAAATCGATAAGGTCCCTTTTCAACTGCACTTTCTGTACTTTTTTCTTAATTTTATCAGACTGTCATGAACTTTCTTCAAATTGTCCCGATAAAATTCTTCGAAAATCTATCATAATAAAAATTCTTTGAAAATCTATCGATAACTAATGATAACTTTGAGGATCAATAAATCATTTTATTGCAATGCTCGTTTAACAATATATTTTGCCATTTAAAATATTAAGAAAGAGTGTTTCTGTGATCAATATTCTTACACGGATAGTAACTGTAGATAGAAATGATTCGGAAAAAATATTTTTTATTATACACACACACACACACACACTATGGAGGTCTATATAACTATCACATATTTACTACAATAATAATAAATAAAGTTGAAATAAAAAATAATATAAAATATATATATAAATTTACTGCGATATTATATTATAAAAAACCATTTAGATAGCAGATTGATATCAAATGATTGGGAACGGTCGGTAATATCAGAGCTCTTCAATTATCCCTAGTATAGAAGTTTCGAAGTGATCATAGCTAACTTAGTTTGGGCAATTTTTTCATGCATCTTATCTTCAAAATAAAATAATTGTATATTTAGACTTGGGAATAAGCAGGATATAAAAAGAAAGTGTGGGCAATACGACAGAGAGAATAAATAAATCTAATATTTATCGTATGCTATGTTATACAACATAACCTCTTTAGAAAATGATGCAAATACTGGGTAGAGTACTGTGTAATAGAAGCATTTACTCTACCTTTAGAAATAATAAAAGATTCATAATTCATGGCAAACGAACTAGTTCAAAAGATATGAAGATCAAAAATAATAATGACAAAATGGTGCTGTTTTATAAATTAAAAATGCAAATGAAAGGTGCAATACAAGGTACGTGGTGCTTACTATGACAGTTGTGTATATGTTTGCTAGATTATTAGCTTCTTTGAATTTAAATTTAAATAACACATGTTATCTATATTTTATTGCTGTATTTAAAAGTATTTCCTTTTTTACGGTATATTTTAAATGTATATCAAGACGTGAAGTACATTCATAATCTTGTGTACGATAACATTTTTAATATTGATAAGAATAAGCTGTTATGAATAAATATATAACAGCATCTTTCTTCAGAGTATGGTAGCGCAAAACCCAACGACAATTTGAAATTAGCACAAATTATTGAACAAGCTAAAAAGAAAAATATGCCTGTTGCTTCAATAAAAAATTTTCTGGAAAAAATGGAATCACGGAAAAATAAGACTCAAGAAGGAGTAATAGAAATTCGTGGGCCAAGTGGTTATGTCATGCTTGTACGCTATTTTACAGATAATTTCAAGCAATTTGAAGGAGATCTAAATCACAAATTGAAAAAATGCAGGTATAAACAAATATATTTGTATAATATATAAAACATATATCTCTAAAATTGAATTGAATTCTATACAACACAAATATTTCTATACACAATTATTTCTGAATATTCTAGAAATATTTCATCTACTTAATATACAGTAATAATTGAAATACATATAATAATTTTTTTCCATTGCAAATACAGTGGAAGTGTGTGTGGAAATCATTCTATCAGAAATATGTTCACACACATAGGTACTATTGTAGCTGAAAAAAAGAATACTTTAGAACAGGCCACAGAGGATGCCATTGAAGTTGGTGCTGAAGATGTAGAAGAATTCGAAGAGAATGATAAAAAATATTTCCAGGTATATAAATTTTACTTATATAAATCAATATAATAATATATATATAAATAAAAAATCTTTTTATATATAATAATTCTCTAAGAGAAGTTTACTTAAATATAATTTAGAAGTATAAGCAGAATATATCTTTTGTTAAAAATAACAAATTTGTTTTGAGCTAGAATTAAAACGTTTTTATTTTATATATATAATCAGATATGTTTTTTATTACAGTTTAAATATGATCCAAAGCTTTCCTCAAAGATAAAAAATTTATTGGAACGTCGTCAATATAATGTGCTTTCAGCAATAGAAGATTATGTGCCACACAATGTAATAGAATTAAGTGAAGCAGACATGGAAGCTGTTTCCCACATTCACGAAAAAGTTCATAGTTTGGAAGATGTTATTGTTATATACGATAATATATAAATTGATGTAATATAAACCACAATCTATAAAAGTTACAATCCTACATTAGTGGCTGCTTTATATTAGTATTTTCTTTTATTATCTTCTTTATTATAGACATTCTTAAAAAATTTCAAATGAGGAATGAAAGATATGGCTTTGCTGCTTCAATATAAAAATGTTAATATTTATGAAAAATTATTTTATTAAAATCATATTAATAAAACGTACAGAACTGACATGAAAACTATTTCATGGAATGTATTCTATAATTACATTAAATATATTTTTGGCATGTATATTACATGTACATCTTTATTTTTTATATATGTACATATATTCATACATACACACATACATATACACCACAAACACAGAATGCAGTGATATTTATTCGTCACTTTTATATGAACTATAAAATATTAATAATAAATATTATATTAATGATATATACTACTATAAACTATGTTTCACATAATGATAAATACTACCAAACTATATTTCATAAATATATCGATTGAAATGCAGTAGTTTGTTTGTTTAGAAAGAGAAATATGTACACACGTATCTATGTGATCAACATCATTACATATAATTCTCTATTACCATGTAAATTACCATCTACATTGCTTGATTATCATAAAAACGAATTAAAATATTTTAGTTACCGTTAAAATTCACACCATATCCTTTTATTTCTTGAATATTAGAACCAGGAAAATCTGCTATTAGGTTTCCGTAAAAAAGTCTCTTCAGTATCTTCTTAGTCATTCTTGCTTTTTTATCCTTAGGACTATGGACTACATCATCTGTAAAATTAATTACCTGGCTCTTTCTCGAAGGTATATCGATAAATTCTACATTATCTACATTTTCTTGATTACTTATATTATCATTATGACATATATTATTGTCAGTTATGTCTGCACTAGGACTGATAGAGCTCTCAACATCTAATGTATCTTTCGATCGTTTATGTTTCTTATTTTTCTTTGGTAACTTAATATTCGGTTCTTCCTCGACTGCATTTTCCTTATCAGAAATCTCCTTTTCCACATCGCACATATTTATCTCAATTTCTAAATGACTGTCCTTGTTGTTGCGCTTTTTTTTCTTCTGTACAGCATTTTCTCTCTCTAACGTCACACTTTCTTCTCTTATTGTTGTAACGACCGGTAATATTTCAACTTTGGCTGAATTGTCTATAATTATTTTCTGCTTTTTATTCTTTTTATTCTTAATTTTGTCTAAATTAGTATGCTGCTGTTCTGTTTCTGATTTCTCTAGTATCCTATCTGATGTGTTTTCGCATTCTTCTTTGTCTTTCTTCTTTTCCTTACTATATATTTCCCTTTTTTTATCTAGTTTATGCTTTTTATTCCTAATTATCTTTTCAATTATATTATCTTCTGTTTCGTTCTCGATACCAGTGACATTATTGTCTATAATTATGATTTCTTTCTTATTCTTTTTCTTTTTCTCCGACTTTTTAATTGCGGTATCTGTTTTATTTTCTGTAATATCCGAAATAACATCTTCCAAGTTCATTTCAATTATTTCCTTTTCTCGTTCAGGTGATTCCTGTATGGTCTCCAGACTAGATGTTTTATATATCCTTCTCTTTTTAATCTTTGTACTTTTATGTTCGTTTAGTTCGTTATCATTCATTTCCGCAGATATTTCTACGTCTAATGCCTCATTAACAAATCCGTTCGACAAAGCTGCAATACTCTCGTTTACAATATTGTATTTTCGTTTTTTCTTGTGCTTTTTATTTTCGACTTCAAATTTATCCAGTGTAGTTTTTCCTTTCTTCTTCTTTGTAGCATCTATATTGTACTCTACATGATCGTTAAACGTTACACGTTTTTTATCGCTTTTTTCATCCGTCAGATCGAGACCGCAGTTTTCTAAACCAAACTGTGCTCTGGATACTTCAAATTCTTTACCATTACAAGCTTCATTAAGTTTTGTATCTAAATTGAGAGCTGGATTCATGAACCCATCTTTGTAATTACTATCAATAGTTCCAATTTTTAATTTCTTTTCAACATTAACTTCATTTGTTTCTTCGATATATAAATCAGTATCTTCAGAAACAAATTCCTTCTTCCTTTTTTTTCTAAATTTTTTTAAAGAATTCTCGGTATTAAACATTGTTTCCATAGGACTATTCATCCCTAAGCAAGGATTATCAAAAGCATAATTGCTCTTCTCACTGGAGTTTTTTGGTGTTTCATTGATGGAACATATATTTTCACTTTTTGATGTAAATCTAAAACCAATACGTTGCTTTGTCTCGCTTTCAGAATCAGCTGCTTGATTATCAATATTATTATTCGAGAGTTTCTTATGATTTGGTAGTTTCTGTTTAAAGTAATCTGACATGCTACCTCTATTTATAGTAATAACACCATCCAAATTATTTTTTGTACCATTAGTTTCATTCTCATTAATACTGTTATCTCCCACATTAAGTTCAGTTTTACTAGTTAATTCTTTTTTACCAAAAATGTTTGCCAGATCCTTTGACTTATATTTACTTACATCTTTACCACGTGTAAACTTTTGATAACTGGAAACAAGTTCTATATTCTGATAAATATAATTAACATATATAATAACAAAAATTAACTATCAGTTATTATTAATATAATAATATAATGATATAATATTGTACGATTTGCAATACTGTTAGATAAAGAAGACAATAGGAATATCTCTATACTTACTGCAATCGAGCATAACTATGTTTAGACTTTAGCTCCAATGATTGCTCACTTAAATCTCTTTTGTTACTTTCTGACTTCTCAACAGTTTCTTCTTGGTTATAATGCTTTGAAAGTTGTTGTAAGAGTCCATTAAATTTATCCTGATGTTCATATAAATCTTTCATATGTGAATCATTGTCATATCCTATACCTTTAGAAAGAAAGGTAATTTTGATTAAACATTATACTATTAGTTATCGATATATAATATAAAAATAGCCTTATGAAAAATGTAAATTATTTTTATTACCAGCTTTTTCATATTCAGGATTCCTCTTGTTTACTCTTATATGTTCTTTAATGCCTTGCTCATTAACACCCAATCCCTTTCCATTAGTCCAGCCCATTTTCTCCAACATTTTCTGACCGATTTTCTCATTGTCTATAGTCAAAATTAATATAATAATAAAAAGTGTAAACAATTAGTGTATTTTATAATTTACATATAAAATTTACAATTTATACATTAGTTTATAATTTACATATAAAATTAAGATCATCATTCTTCCTTGTGAAAGAAACAAGTTTTAAGAGAGTTACTTTCGTAAAATTACAATCCTTCATACAATCATGTCTTATAATAATTATATGTAACTTTATATATAATTCAAATAAAAGATGTTCTCTGGCTTCTATATTTTGAGAAAATTTCACTTATTTTGTAATAATTCACCTTTGCTCCATCGGTTGCCTTGGGGATCGTCCGACCATTTCTTCTTTCGTCGGCGTTCCGCGAGCATAGACATGTTATTCACTAACTTTAATTTCGTCTTTGGTTTAAATTATTGTAAACAGTAATCGAATATGTTTACATACATTACTATTTCACAAGTTAATCTTATTCGATTCGTATCCCACGAGCACGCACACGCATTCACAGGAAAATTAGGTTAAGTTATGGGAAGGACTGTGGAGACTTCTTGCGGAGATCTACGAAACTACTAAAAGAAGAGCGAGAAAATCTCCAAAATGTCACTATCTAGGAGCTATAAGAAACAAACACTCCTATTGGATATTCTAGTCACAACGTAACCAATGGTCTGTTCTTTTCAGCTGCACTGCTGAATTATTGCAATAAATTAGAGTGAGAAAAAATATACTTATCTCACTCTAACTTATTGTACTAGTTTAGTAGTGAAGCTACAAAGAACAAACCAATTAAAAGTAAATAATTTTGTAGTACTTGAAGGCGACTGAATCTTTTTCCCAATTTAAACTCTTTGAAAAGTGAATATTTCCATATGTTTTCAAGGTTAGATTTTTATTTTTCACATGGAATTCACACTAGAGGAAACTATTCATAATTCCGTGTGCACAAGGACATTGGTGCATCCAATTGAATTCGCCATTATGTTAAGAAACAAAAGGGCATATTAGCATTTCTTACGTATCCAAAACACGGCTCATGATTGGTTATCGCGTCACTTTTATCTACGCAAACTCGTCATACCACGTCTTTGTGTGCGAGTGTCATTACACGGAGAAGGTTGTTTTGCGTTTTCATTTGCCATTCTTGCCTTCTCGCTATATACGAATCGTGGACGAGCGAGAACTTCCCACCACTGTCATTATTGGACGTGTGTATGTGTGTGCACGTCCATCTGTTGCCGGTGGCGTAGTCGCGCATTTTCGCGATTGAACGTGAGCTTTCTAACATAAAACGAGATTATATTCTGCGCGATTATGGCGCAAGTACGCTACACTCGTAACTTGTTCCTGCGTGGAATGTGCATTATATACCTATTCGCCTTTCTCAGCTTTTACATACAGATTCCGGGTAGGTATGCTCGTTAGTTATAGACTAACTGATTGCCGTTTGATGTCGTTTTTTTCGTAGTAATTATTACGATCGTGTGGGATATCATCTTCTAGACATTATTTGTAGTATATGTTAATTCAAAGAATGCTCTAACTTCTCATAGAAAAAAAAATTATTAATGTTTAACACCGATTAACACTCACGTATGATTATATGAATATACTGTAGCGCAAATATAGCTAATTTCTTGTTCATTATATACTGATGTTCAATTGTCTATGTACAGTATAACTTTGACAAATATCTAAATTATGAGTATTTGATATAAAAGAATAGTTTTACATATATATTATTACATTGCCATATAAATTATAACTACATTAGTTATAAAAAATATTTACTAAATATTTTTAATAAAACATTGTTTTAGAAATACAATACAAATTGAATATTGCAGTGACTTGCATAAGATCCTTCATTACTTATTTAGAAACTAATAAATTAAAAGATGGATATTCTTATATAGGATTGTATGGTGACAATGGAATCCTACCAGCCAGAACACAGGTGGATTTCAAGAAACGTGCAACATTATTCAATAAACTGAAACAAAAGCCAACATTATTATGGTTTGCACCATATCTAGGCTTAAATGTAGAGTACATGTTGGATGTATTGTCCCTTCTTGGAGTCATTTTCTCCTTTGCAGGGTATGTGCATAATATATGATATGTATCTATATTTATATATAATTTATAAAATTAGATTTTCTAAAAGAATACTTTTGCCATTAAGATATTAACAGTATAATATGTGATCTATGAAAACCTTACTGCCAAAATATAGTGACATATAATAAGTGTAACAAAATATATAGTCAGTGTTCAAGATTATATTTGCTTGCAGATTTATCTCGCAAAAATTCTGCATTGCACCAGTATTTGCAGGATTATGGTCTCTATATTATTCCTTATACCAGATTGGACAAACATTCATGTGGTTCCAATGGTGAGTCATGTAGTAATTTCTTATTTATAACATGATTTTTATTCTTACATATACACATATAAATGTTTATAAAATTCAATAATTGATTTTAATATGCACATACATTCAACTGAACATTCAACATGCACTGATAATTACCTTCCAATAACAAGAATAGTATCAATATTACATATATAGTATAACATCTTTGTAAAATATCAAATGAAATCACATGTAAGATAAGTAATAGCAAGTTGAAGCAAAAATATTTCATATTATTCTGTTTTAATTTATAAAAGTAGAATATAAATATATACTAAAGTGACATGAAATTAAAAAAATATCTTTCCATTATTCAGTTACAAAATGTTTTCATTTAACAGTGAGCAACCAAATTGTTTGTAACTTAATTTTATATTTCTGTTTGCAGGGACATTCTGTTGCTAGAAGCAGGATTTCTGTGCATTCTCTCAGCACCATTGTGGTATCCACGCTGGAAGTCAAACACTCCGAGCGACGCCGTGACCTTCTGGGCTGTGCGTTGGTTGCTCTTCCGTCTCATGTTTTCTAGCGGAGTGGTGAAGCTTACTTCAGGATGTCCATCATGGTGGAAGTTGGATGGTAAAAAAATATCCAGCGATTTGCACGAGGCATGCGGCGAGTAATGATCTACATTACATGCGTTAATCACGATGCGTCGTTGTGTTTGCAGCTCTATCTGTTCATTTCGAGTCTCAGTGTATACCTACTCCCTTGGCATGGTATGCTCATCATTTGCCAACTTGGTTCCTTCGTCTGTCTACCGTCTTCACAAACGTTATTGAGCTCGCCATACCACTCTTATTTTTCTTCCCAGACATAAAAGTGAGGAGAGTGGCGTTTTGTGCTCAGGTATGTAATCTATCAAGAGATGAAGTGTCTGTATAGATACATTCGTTATTGATCAAACCATATTTGTCGTATCGCAACAACTTTACATTATGACGCTATTATTTTAGGTGTTTTTACAAATCTGCATCATCATTACCGGAAACTATAATTTCTTCAATTTCTTAACCATCTGCTTATGCATATCCTTGTTGAATGATCAGTTCTTTTACAAACGACGATCCCGAAGCGATATGTCTCGTATCATGAGCAATCTTACAACTGAATCTGCAGTACTGACTGTATTGGTTTATGGAGGGCTAATGTATGGAACGTACATTTACTATAATCTTAGGATAACAAACAACTGGACCATCGAATCGAATATTGGTATTTATCGATATTTTATTAATAATAATGGTTAACGATTCAATATAGTCTCCGTAATTAAAATTCTCTTTTTTTTTGCAGCATTTACTCAAGAACAATTCGATTATGTTTTATCTCGTGTAATACCTATTTCTATATATATCGGCATGATATCTCTCGGAGCTACGACGTTGGACGCGATGCTTAATTCAGTGTTCTTTGTAAAAGGAATATACAACAAAATATCGTCGCTCGTAGTTACATTTTTCTACGTTATAGCTGTATGGTCGATATTTTGCATAAGTATTGTAAGTACGCATCAAGCAATTCCACCATGCGTGAACGTAACGTCATTCCGCTTGTAATCACTGAAAATACTCGTCGTGATAGAACGCGTGGATGACTCATGTTTATACAAGCAGAGATGAATGCGCTTACAGGTACCGTACGCCTCTTTACACCCGTCGCATAACTCAACGATACCCATTCAACTGAGACAAGCTCACGCGACAGTGGATCATCTTCATCTAGTGAACAGTTACGGCTTGTTCCGTCGTATGACCGGCGTCGGGGGTAGACCGGAAGTGATAATAGAGGGCAGTGACAGCATCGATGGGCCCTGGAAAGAATATGAATTTTTATATAAACCAGGAAATGTTAACAACTCGTTACCGTTTGTTGGTGAGAGAATTTAAAGTAACATGAGACAAATTCTAAAACAAGATGAAATAATATTGTGCGGGTTCTGTGTTCCTATAATGTATATATATCTTTTTCTCACTGAGCTCAAATGCACAAAATATGATTTTAAATGTATTTATTATAAGAACGTTGCAAAAAAGAAATTTTTGATATTAGTAGTTGTTTGACATTAATAATTTGGCATTAGTAGTAGTATTCTTCTCTATGTAGCACCTCATCAACCACGTCTCGATTGGCAAATGTGGTTCGCTGCTCTGGGTACATACCATCAAAATCCTTGGTTAATGCCGTTAGCTTATCGTCTATTGACTGGTCAACCTGAGGTACTAGCGCTAATGAATACTGTCGAAAATCCATTCCGAGACAGACCGCCGAAATATATCAAGGCCAGTCTCTACTATTATCATTATACATCGTGTAGCCAAACGTAAGTACAATTTTATAGAGTAGATACGTTCCGCGAAATCCTGTATACTCTTCTAATAGAACGATTGTAAATTAAAACAACATACATTGTACTTGTAATAGACGGATACATGCTTGGTGGACCAGAGAAAAATTGGGAGAATATTTCCCAATATTCAGCCGAGATCATCCACCACTTATCGAGTACCTGAAGAAGATGAAGATTATTCAAGAGAAGCCAAGTTCCAAGATCACAAATGAGCCGGCCAAATTGATTCTGGACAATTTGAGATCTTTGGTCGGTAAAATGGAAGCGTGTCTACTCTTGTGGAGTATCCTCACAGCGGGATCGGCCATAATCGTGACAGGTTACAATAATTCGGTGTCAAAAAAGAAGTAATTACTAAACAATAATCGTTACGAAAATTCGTGAGTTATAATTAAAAAAGTGTTAATGAGATAGAATACAAACCGTAAAATATACACGTGTATCGATTAAGCATCACTTGCATCATGGATGCATCTTAGAGAAGCAAGTGTTTTCTTTTGTATGTAACATATATGTGCATTGATTCTTCTCATCTAATAGGTCTCTCTGTCAGACAATATTAATCATTATACATATATAATATAATGAGTCTCATATAATAACACATGATGCATGCAATAAATCCCCATTAAAGTCGATCTAAACTCAAAAAGATAAGGAAGCGACGTGTGTTTCGTATAAAATAAATAATGTAGTTAAGGGGATGTGACTGTATATTGTTCATCTTCCAATGAACGATATTTCCCGAGTGCATTTTATCGTATTTTGTTTATAATAATAAGATAATCAGCATTATATGCTTTTATAACAGTGATTACAAGACGTGTATATTATTTATAATATTCATCATCTTAAAATTGTTATATTTTTTATTTCATAAATGTTACTGTTATATCATTCATTATGGTTTATTTTGCTATTTTCAATTAGTACAAAGAATTTATATCGCGAAATAAAAGATAGAGAGTGTATTTATTATAACGAAAAGTAAATGAAGAATAGAAAAGAAAAGCGAAAACGCAAATTTCAATACAAAGTTTTCTCATTGGATGGTCGATATTACATTTTTTTCTTATATTTAGTGAGTAACTAGAACTGAATTTCTTCTTAGTAACTATTTTATTCTTACGGCCTTCCAGTAAAAACTAATAATTGTAACCTATATTCTATTTACTCACTCTAAGTGCATATTTGTAATATATGTGTTTGTACATATATACATTTATACGTATATATTTCAATTTACACATGCTAATATCATTACAACTATGTAATACATTATGTGAATTATTTTCAGAAAACTATATATTTGTATTAAATAACAGTCGGTCCTATAACCGCCTACTTCGATATAAAAGAAAAATGTAACACACTTGAAATGTAATAAAACTTCCATGCTTCCTATATGATTTTTAATTAATTACATCGTGTTATTTGTAATACTATTTACATGAGCTGCTCACGAATTACTTGAATAAAAAAGATTTTACTCATTAATTCAATAATTAAGAATTGTCATTTCACAGTTTCATCCTCTTACATTTTACTTTTCAGCTGTATGTTGTAAGATAATTTGTGTGGTTTTACCATGTTGTTTTTTGCATAAAACTGTTATTCGCAAATATTGTTTGTTTATTCTTTTCAGTTTCTTTCTCAGACCATTTCTGTTTTGATTGTTCCTTCTGTTCTTCCATTATGAATAGCGCTTCTTGTTCAGGCAACTCTACCATAACACGTGATAGAGCTAAAGGTAACTTAAATAAACGCATTAGACGAGTTTTCAATGTCTGATATGCTTTCTCATATTCGGTGCTATTTGGTTGTTGCATAATATTTTTTGATTTTGAGTAAGATTGATTATTTTCATATTCATATAGCATTTTCCAAAAAATTAAGTTTTTCAGACCTAATAAAGTCTCCTGGCTCGGTGTAATCGCATCCAACATCTCCATTTCTTCAATGTCTTTGTTAATATGTTCAGCGTAAGTGGCTTTTTGTGTCTTACACGATTGTACTGTTTTAGTTGCGTGTCTTTCTATCTCTATTGCTGTATTTGATTTAGATCTTAGAGGGGTTTGATTTTTTATTTCATTAAAAGAGGAATTGTAGCCTAATGATGCAAGTGAATTTATATTTTGTCTGTTACAACTATAATTATCATTGATTAAGAGTTGACTAAGTTTTTGAAATTGAATCTCTTCATCAACATCGACAAAATAACAATTACTATAACAGGGAATTATTCTGTCTGACACATCAACGAGAAATTTTTCGCTGTAGTCTAAATCATAATTTATAGAGTTCGTTTTATATTTTCTTTTTCTCTTGACGTATCCGTTAAAGGGAAGCGGCGGTATAAAATGAGAGATAACACTTTGTGTTTCCGAGCCAAACATTTGAAGTCTGAATCTTTCAATTATCTCATTGTGTTTCTCATTGCTCACAGGTTGACATACGTTTACATATTTTTTTAGAGAAGCAAAAAGTTGTCTTTCCTTTTTACTTAAATGTGCATAATCAAGGAACATATTTGGAACATCGAATTTAACATCTAATAGTTTCAATATTTCATATAACTCTTTAGTGTTATGTGCGAGTTGTTTAAGATCATAAATTTCTTGTGAACCTTCCGTACTCCCCGACATAAGTGGAAAATTAAGATTTTCGAAGAGTCTTTCTTGAATTGTATCGTTCGATACAACGCAATTTAACAGGGATATTTTTTGACAGGTAGATTTCGAATTCTGGGCCAATAATGATGCGCCAGTTTTCCTACTGCCAAGTGACGTTGACTGATTAGATCTAGGTATAGTCATGATTTTGTAACCTTTGTTTATATATTTTTGTAACGCCATATGTCGATGTCTCACTTGTGTCCTTGTTTTAAGAGTAAAACTCTTGGCTATTTTAACCCAATCGTTACCGTGCTTCTTATGCAGCTTCAGCAGTTTTACATCATCTTCGTGTGTCCATTTGTTCACCTTGCTTTGATGAATCGACTGATAATGGTTGTTAAGCTGTACAGTGGTTCGATGTGGCATGACATAGCGTGATATCTTGCTGAAGTTGGTGCCGTATTGTTTTATCGCTTCCAGGAGTGTTTTTGTTTCCATATAGTTGAATCTACCTTTCGTCAAGTGCGGCGCTGTTCTGTACATCCACCTGGTGTAAACCTGTTGCTTGGTCCTGTTGCCCATGTAAATCGCGACCTCAGCCCAAGGAATGTAGTTCCCGATCTGAAGTTTACTTAAAACTAACTGAAGATGTTCGTCTTCCAATTTGGTCCAAGCACGTCCAGCCACTGGCAAATTCTGGATCGTGTTATATCGAATGAAACATTGGTAAGCGCTGCGCTTTGTATCGAGCTTCTTCGTGATGGTATCCCAATCTTGGTAGCCGCCCTTTTTCGCTAATTTCACTAATTTTTGGTCCTCCGTGTTTGTCCAATCACCTTTATTGATATCAGGATGCAAGTAGACATTCCACATGGAACGACACTCGCCCAGTGAATGTTTGTTCGAAAAATGCTGAGCTGCTATCTTCATCCAATCAATTTGCTTCTCACTCATCGTTCTTACTATCTCGGTGAAATTTATGGGTGTCACAGTTCTTAGGGCTGAATTATTCATAATGCTATCACTCTTACTCGGCACTCCGTTGGTCGCCGTATCTCCAGTTTGATTGTTGGTTCTCTCATCAGACAGTTCGTTAATTTCCACGTTGGATCCCGAAATTGATATCGAGTTGAGGACTTCATCGTATATAGCGTTTAAAAGCATCGTCCTGTCTGTACCTGACCAGCGACACGATTTTTGCATTTGTAACACTGACAGTTCGTCCCGACTTTCTTTCAGCCTCGTGTCGGCGTTTTTGGCTGCGCCGAAGCCCGCTTTGTCTTTGAAATACGGCGTGCCAGCTATGGAGTATCTTGTACGTACTTGCAACATGTTTCCATCCTTGTTTGTTTCTATTTCTTCACTTAACTCTTCTATCTTCTCCTCGCAGCGCTGCAGCATAACACTCACTTTTTTCTTAACCAGCATCAGACCTTTAGTCAATTTTTTATTGATCTCATAGGCATTAATAGTTTCAGTATCTTGACACAATTGATTGTAGAACTGATCATCATTATAGGATTCATTATCAGATTCATCAATCGAGGAAGAACTGCTGTCATCATGTAAATCATGCCATGAACTATTAGCCTTGTCATTGGCACTGTCCAACAGCAAGGCATTGTCCAAGGCCTTTATGTCAGCCAAAATATCTGAATCGTCAGACTCACTCATTGTAAGTAAAATTGATTTGCTGATACAATCTCTCCTAGTTCTAAGTTTTGATTACTGTAACAAATAAATGGAACAGTACAATATACCATTAAATTATACTTTTAACATATTTATATTCTTCCACAATACATATTTTTGCAATATAAATAAAAAACATAGTACTTACCAAAAATATGATCCAGTTTTCTGCTCAAGCAAGATTACATGTATCAAGTGTTATTGAAGTCTATCCTCTCTTAAGAATATCTGCAAAATCACACTTTTGAGTAAGATTCAACATATCTCTTTGAACAAGTCTGTTGTTTCTTACTATTTGTTTACATTCAGTTTCACACATTTTCTACAATATACGTAACATAAATTATAGATAAATGCGCGCATATGCGTGAAACGGAATACAACATATCTTTACAGTTACAGAATATCTTTACAGTTTTTCATTATTGTCATCCACGTTATCGTTATCTAAGGTAATATTCGAAACCGTACACAGTACAAATCGATCCCGTAGTTCACAATACGTTGCTCGAGTCGCAATGAATTTCAATTCAATTAAACATTTTATGTAATATTTCCGTTCAGTAAGCTCGATCGCACAGCTGGATATAACTCGAAAATATAATGAAAAGCAAGCTCTATACGGACCGCAAACACGTGTCCGACATTCGTTTCATTTGATATTTTTGCAATTAGTTTCGTCTATGAATTGTCGTACTTTAACGAGGCACGGTTTTGTTGATTAATAATACGAAAAATCGTATTCACTTCAAGTGTAGCTACATTGTAATAACTTAACCTAACCTTTTTGCTGTTGCGCTATACGAACGATACATTAGAGGTGCATCGAGAAACGTCAACTGAGTGCTCTCCCTTTCTCTCTTTATTTCACTCTCGTATCTCTTTCACTCCAACGTAGCGGGTGCACATGGGTGACGTTTCCAAACGCCCTCTAGTTCACATTAGAGAACCTCTAGTAAAGAGAATCGCCAACTTGGTCATGTGACTAGCTACTCAACTACTCTGCGATTGGCTGGCATAAACATGTACGGATTTGGACATTGCGACGCCGATGCAAAACCATATATATATATATATAAGCATCTGTCTGCATTGGCGTCGCAATCTCGAAATCTGTATATATTTATGCCAGCCAATCAGCTGGTCACGTGACAAGTTGGCGATTCTCTTTACTTGAGGTTTTCTAGTTCACATAGGGGTGCGTTCAGATTTTTCATCCTGGTGTACTCTATTACTAGAAACACTATAGTATATGTTACATATACTATAGCACTTCTAGTAATAGAATATACCCGGGTGTGGAATTTGAAACAGCCTAGAATGGACATACACTACGTAACTATTTGTATGTCATGTACACACATTATTTATGCACATACACATACAATCCTGGATGACAATTGAAGGGTTCTTAATTTCCAAGGGTTAAGAATTAATGTTGTTCTTGGTGAAAATAAGTTTATTAATAATTATTATTAGTTATTATTAATAATAATAGACATATTTATAGTTTTATTATAATTTTATCATCTACATACAAATTCATTTAGTCAAATAATCAACATCTACTGAACACACTAGCGAGTCTGTTACTGGGCCTAGGTTGACAAGGTCTCCAGTTAATGACATGTTGTCCATTTTTACAGCTACAACATGCTGAAAAACGACAACACTCGATTATGAAGAATCGCAATAACATTTAAATCCATAAATAAACGCTAATCATTGAGATACAATTTACCTGGAGGGCACTAAAGTGTGTGCCAGTGGTAACATCCAAATAGTTTTCGCCTAGCCGTAATCTCGCTTTACCGGACCTCAGAATTTCAAGTTTACCTAGGAGACCGCTATTTAATTCATTCAGGCTGCATGCAGAGTTCTCTATATTATTTGTATTAGTGGTTAGCCTAGAGTCGTTTGGCCGTTTTGATTTCGGTTCCTCTTTTTCATCTTCAGATCTCAGGCCTGGTAAAGTTGGGAGCTACAATCAGTTTTTAAATAAAGTAATAGTTATATCAATAACTGTAACAGGATACAAAACATATACATATATACGCACTTGCAGCAATATATAAGAATTAGACTTGTTTTCAATCATGTCAAAAAATTGTTGGCTTGGTTCTTTTTTTTCTTCTTTTAATATCTCCATGTTTACTTTTTGTTCATTTTTCACGGTTATCACTACAAAAAGAAATAAATGAAACATATAAATATAATTATCACAGGAAATATTACTTGGACCTGCAATGTATTGTCTTATTTAACTCTTATTGTCTGTCTTTATATATTTTTTAGTAAACCTTTACATTAGGGAACCTATTTCTTGTGATTGATCTTGTTATCAAAGTTATATCCCTGAATAACGTGCAAAAGATTTTAGACGTTGTTCAATCTCTATTAAAAAATTATTAATAAAAGAAGTTTGATAATTATTTAGATAAAAATGCTGTTTAGCCACTTCCAAAATGACCTTGCCTATTACACATTATAAAGAATATCCTCCTGAATAATATTTAAGAAGTTTTATCGTTCATTGTTTGTTAAAAAGTTATTAAAGAAAAGTTTTATAAATGGAACATAATTTTTGCATACAGTATATATTGAAATATGACAAACAGTACACGTATATACACGGGAAAAGGGCTCCGTTCCTCCCAAAAAAGTTAACTAAATCTATCCTTTAAATTTTTGTATCCTTTCTTTGTATATTTGGTATTTTTATATTTCTCATTGTGAAACTATATAATAAATATAATATATACTATGATATAAAAAAATGTAAAGGATTAATGTGCGTTAGATCAAGTTAGTTTTTTGGGAGGAAGTTCTGTCCTTTTCCTGTGCATATACGTGCACTGTTCATCATATTTTAATGTACATTGTGCAAAAATTGTCCCATTTATAAAAATTCTCTTGTTAATGTCTTTTTAATAAATAAAGAATAACGATCAAAATCTTTTGTGCGTTACTCAGGGATATAACCTTGATAACATATATCAAAGTCAAAATCATAGGAAGTGGAGCCCTAATATAAAAGTTACCTTATTTTTTTAATTAATTAATCCCTTTTTTATTTAATGAAATAATTATTTAATTGAACATTATACTTACCTTCACCATTTTCTGAAATAATTGGTTTTCTGTCAACATCATTTTCGTCAGAATATGGATTGATATTCACTCTGAACTCCTTTTTATATAATTTTCTATAGTCTAAAGAAAATCACAAAATTAATATGGACACACAAATGAAAACACATATTAGTTATTAAAAAAAAAATATATATATATCGAAACAATCAAAATATTAATTATTAAATATATAATGAACCAATTGGAAACTTACACTGTTCATTCATAGGCAACATTATATAATCAGCTTTCTCATTAGGATCCTCATCATCATCATCCCCTATCAGATTCTTCAATTTTTCTTTTTCTTCCTCTTTATTGACTACTTTATTTAAATTTAACTTTGGTTTTTCCAGATATTTTCTTGTACTTGTACCACTATTTCCTGAACTACCAGTATATCTTCTAGCAGTTGCAGGTGCATTTATTCCTTCTGACCATACACCCACAGACTGAAAGTAAAAAGAAAGAAATAATATGATGTATACTACAAAATAAAAGAAATGGCTTAGTATATTAGAGATTAATGGTTTAGTATATTATGAGACATCAAACTCACAATTTCTCATCCTTTTTATTTATCTATAGTTTTTCTTAATAAATTAAAAGTAGATAATGGTATGATAGATGCTAAACAATCATAAAAATGCAAATAATAAGTATCAAGTACTCAATGAGTTACTGTTCTAAATTTATAAATCATTAAAAGTAAAAAAAATAAAAAATAGCTTTAAGATATTAAATACAAAATAATGAGGTAAAAAGAAAAAGCATTTAAGAGTCAGGCACAGGTGTAAAAATGCAGTCAATATATCACAATGTGACAAAAACTACAATATTGGTTATATCAGTTCACGTTTCAACCTAATTTGGGTCCTCTTCAAAAAATCCAATGAAAATTCAAAACTTGCAATCGATTAAACAAATTTGTAAGATATTCCGTGCACTCCCCTTTTGCTCTAATAATCAATAATTTATTGTAAATTAATCTGAATAGAAATAGGTGAAGAAATAGATTAAGAAGATGAATTGTATGTCATGTTAATTTACGACAAATTATTGATTGTTAGAGCAAAAGGAGAGTGCATGGAATATCTTACAAATTTGTTTAATTGATTGCAAGTGTTACTTTATGGATATATATTTTTAACATATTTCGCAAGAATTTTTAGCATACATTTTCTCGCTTCTGACATCATTAAAAAGAGATAGACAATGAGAGGAGCCAGGAGCCTTAAAGTCAAATTGAAGTTGAATCAATATTGGTAGAAACAAATATTAGAATGTTGTTAAACTTTTCAGTTTTCAGTATCTATGGTACTGTTATCCATCAGTATGTGTTTAGATAAGATCAATAACAGGAGAACACAATTATCTTTTCTTATGATTCTATTTATCAGACTTACTTGTATTAGATTTCCTCTGCCACGTCCTCTATCTCGTCCTCTTCCACGATCTCTGGACCCACTGTCTTTTGATTTTGTGGTTTCAACCTTAGATGTTACCGGTTCACTATAATTGTACTTGATATTAGTATGTTGCAAGAATATTCACATTAATTAAACAACTACTTACTCCTTCTTCCTGTTCCGTTGAGCATTGAGGTTTGGCATGTAAATTTTCTTCGATTTTTCAGTCTTCACATTTCCACCTAATGTTAAATCTCGAGGTAAACGATAGGATGTTAACCTCTGTGCTGTACTGGGCAAACCAGGTTCCATTTTGATATTTTTCAATACTCCGCTGTCTGAGGATAGCGAAGATGTGCCGGGTTCTATCTTCACTTGTACATTCTTGTGTAGTGTGTTGTTTGCATTGACCGAATCGTCCGAAGAGAGATTCATCCTTACTAAGCGTGTATGTAACAATAGGCGTACAGTCTTGTTATTATTTCGTAAGCTGACCCAAAGGCGTAGAATGTATTTCTTATTATTTTATTCGGACTTAGACTGTATTTCTTTTGGGCACTCACGCGCTTATAAGCGTCACTGGTTGCTTTCCAACAAGAGACACAAGTCGACACAAATATTATCCTATCTTTGGGTGCTTTCCAATTGCTTAACATACTTGACACACACGTACACAAAACCAGTTTATTGGTTACATATTATCTAAAATATCTTGTAAGATAATATGGGTGCTTTCCAATTGTTTAACCTTGACACACACGTAAACAAAACCAGTTTATTGGTCACATATTATCTAAAACATCTTGTAAGATAATATGCAACCAATAAACTGGTTTTGTGTAACAGTGTACGCAACTGGAAAGCACCCTTTGTTGCTCACTAAATGTGAAACAAAGATAGAATGGTGTTTGTGTCGACTTGTGTCTCTTGTTGGAAAGCAACCACTCTATCTTTCTTCCGCATCTAATGATAAAGATAGAATGACGCTTACAGCGCGTGAGCGCCCAAAAGGAATGCAGCCTCAGGCTTGGTTTACATCGTGCACTTGATACGCGTATTAAATAGTAACTTTCTATTAGATAATCTTAATATCGACATCAGCATATCAGCGACGTATTCAATCAATACAAAATGTTTTGTTGATGAGTATTATATCAGCTTAATATACCGTTGTTTATATATATCGTCGATATTAAGATTATTTAATAGAAAGTTACTATTTAGTATGCGTATCAAGTGCACGATATAAATTAAGCCATTGTAGACCGAGCCTAATTTTAGTAGTAATAGTATTGAATGGAAAAAGAACGAGGTGTTCCAGAGCAGCTAAAAAGAACATTATTTCAGCTAAAAAGAACAGACCTTCATTTAACCGGAGCCGCGCGCGCGGCGCAACTATCGAATTTTGACATTCGGCCGGAAGTCGCGCACATATGTTTCCGTTGGTCGTTGCTGCGGAGGCGCGGCTGCGCAGTCAGGCCACGGCCTGAATATGTCGACCGACTGTGATGCGGGGTATGCGTGTAACGTACGCTGAGAACTGCCGGACATGATCGTCGCGAATTCCGTCGGTTGAGAGCGCGTCGGTTTCGTGGTAACGCGCGATACCGCATTGGCGAGAAGCCGGGACGGCGGCGATCGCTGCTGGGCAACGTATCCGTCGTCCGGGGATCGGGATCGGGTCTCCGGAGGAGGACGACGACAACGAGCAGGAGGAGGAGGAGGAGGAGGAGGAGTTGGAATTGGTTGTGGCGGCGGAGGAGGAGAAGGAGGAGGAAGAGAAGTCAAGTTGCGAGAGCGAGCGAGCGCCGTGTCGTGTCGTGCTGTGCCGTATCGCGTCGTATCGTACTTGGCGCGAGACACCGCACCGTGTCTCTCCTGATACCGTATCGTTCCGGGGGCGGTGATCGTAGACGCGAGGATTAGTCGGAGCGCAGCGGAACGTAGCGGAGCGCGGGGGCCTTATGTCAAGTCGGTTCGCGGTCGGAAGGGAAGCCGCCGACGACGACGACGAGGACAACGCGCACCAACATGAAGAAGTTATTCTCGAAAATCGACAACACGTCGAAGGAACCCAACAGCTATCTGGGAAAAGTGTTTGTAGTGGGCCGACACACTGTCACCGTTGAGGAAGTCCTGGCGGAAGGTATGTACGCGTCGTTGCTTTGCTTCACCTCGTTACTCGCTCTCATTCTGCCTCTCTTTCTTTCTCATTCTGTCTACTTCTCTCTCTCATTCAGTCTATCTATCTGTCTCTCTCTCTCTTTCTCTCTCGTTCGATCTCGTCTTGCCGCGCGCAACCCTCTCGCCCCCAGCTGGTCGCCGTCTCGCTTGTCTCCTTTTCCGCTCGGACGAACGACCGCCCGCTCGCCCGCGCGTTTCTTACGCGCGAAATCGTCGCAAGAGATGACGACTAACGCGATCGCCTTACCGATATCTCGAGGGCCGGACTTCATGATATGCGTGCGGAACTCTCACGATATTGATAACAAAGCGGCCGTGTACGGTGTACGTCTAGAACGGTGTTCGGGAACGTCGTTGGTTTCGTTAGCCTATATCTACGATGTGCTCTTTGCTTCCCGTTTCCTTCTGATTTACCTTAAACTTTTTGCCAGAAAGAGATAGACAAGAAGGAAAAAGCATACTCTAGGTCAGGCTTCTCAGATAATCGAGAAACTTTTTCCTTCTTCCGCGTAGCATGAGGTGAAACTCGATCGCGAGTACAGTCTGAAGGAGAGTGCGCTTGATCACCTCGAAACGAGGAGTGTTCGATTGTTTTTCGAACAACTGGCGTTGCGAGAGCTTTTTCTAGGATTGTGCACGGTCTGTTGGCCCGTTTTTATCTCAATTAGTACTGCACTGCAACTTTGTTTCTTTCTTTTTGGCGGTCTAGCGACTTTGTCGCAGTGTCTTCAGTTCCCCGCGCGGAGTAAAATAGCTTTACGACATACAGTTTCTATTTTTCTAAATATGTAATCCGCCTTAATTATTCTCTGTTTTGAAACTCTCTTTTCCGATCTCATACGGATGGTACAGTCTAAACAGAAAAATTTATAGGTTAAAATTCAATCGCTCATCGCAACGGTTTCGAACGGATTACTCTTTCTTTTCCCTTCAACGCTAGATTATATATTTACTTCACTCCAGAGGCAGAAACTGCAATCTAGTTCAGCTAAAAACGACGAATCTTATAGTTTTTTAAAGGCTCGCGGTGTCTTCAACCTTCCCTATGGAATAAAATAGCAATATAACACGTTGCTTTTACATTTTTAAACATATTCATCCGTTCTTGTTCTTTCTATCGTTAATTGCCTGTTCTCTAGTCTATGTAGATCCCTTTTCCTCTACTTTGGATGACACCCAAACAAAAATGTGTAGGTTAAAATTTAACCGCCCATCACAGAGCGGTTTCCGACACACTTGACGGGCCTTATATCTGTCATTACAGGTTGTTAGATCGTGTGTCGCGAATTACGTTCTCTCGTTAAGTGTGACACATCGACGATGGTGAAGAGAAATCGATTGTCCCATCAGCGGGTGTGCGAATAGCCAAATGTGTCGCGACTTTTATCACTGCGTTTTATTCGCGTCGGTGATTAGTGCCGATTGTAATTGTATCCGTGTCAGGTTACGGCACGATAATCTCGTGGCTGTCGTGGATTTTGCATTCTAATTACCGCGGTTTGGTCCATTTATGTTACTGCGTGCTACGTCTTCGTGAAATATATTTTTGTACTGCATAACATTGACGATTTACGTTCTACATAAACGAAATAATATTCGTCAGTTTGTAGCGACTTTTTACACAATGTAATCGTTACTTTACAGGAGGATTTGCAATTGTATTTTTGGTCAAAGCTTCTGGTGGACGATATGCACTTAAGCGGATGTACGTCAACAATGAACATGATCTCAATGTATGCAAAAGAGAGATACAAATCGCTGTGAGTGAAGAATAGATCTTTAATTTGCAACTTACGGCATTCTTTATATGCATGGATTTCACGTAACATTCATGTTTGCAGAGCAACTTGAGTGGTCATAAAAATATCATAGGATATATAGATAGTAGCATAACTCACACCGGCGGAGGAGTACACGAACTTCTACTTTTAATGCCTTATTGTAAATCCCAAGTTCTTCAAATGATGAATAACAGGTCAGTGATGGTTTGGTACATAAAATTCTTCCCAAATAATGAGATATCTTTCTAATTATAACAAATTCCTTGACATATATTTTTACATGTTAATAAATCTATACAAGATTATTCTTCTTAAATTTACAAATTGTTAAACAGTTTTATATCAATTTGAACCAACAACATGATCTACAGAGAATCTTATTAATTTATGAATATGGTGATTTATGATATGTATTATAATATGTATATATAGATGATACTTTTTACCTGTAGGTTGCAAACAGGTTTCAGTGAGTCAGAAGTTCTGCAAATTTTTTGTGATGTTTGCGAAGCTGTGTCTAGGTTGCATCATTGCCAAACCCCCATAATCCATAGGGATCTCAAGGTGAACTGTTTCTTTCATTTTAATAATGTCGCATACGTTTAATGGAGGTGTTATGTAACGTAATACGCGCGTACATATTCGAGCTACTTCGAATCTATTTCTTTGTCACAGGTGGAAAATATATTGCTCGCCGACAGTGGCCATTATGTTCTTTGTGATTTCGGATCTGCCACTGGAAAGGTTCTTAACCCTGGTGTCCACGGTGCCGCGGTGGTCGAGGAAGAGATCAAGAAATACACTACTCTGAGTTACAGAGCGCCCGAGATGGTCGATATGTACTGCGGGAAACCTATTACCACAAAAGCTGACATATGGGTAGCGTATATCTTCTCACACGCGAATGTATCACGCAATCATAATGAGAACGGAGAGTAGAATTAAACAAGAAACATTAGACAAATTAAGACTAATGGAAATCCATGACAATGTCTTTTTACATTGATGTTTCGTGTTTCAGGCTTTGGGATGTTTACTGTATAAACTTTGCTACTTCACGTTACCATTCGGCGAGAGTACGCTCGCCATACAGTCTGGAAATTTCACTATACCGGATAATTCAAGGTGCGTGGAAAGTAATGCATACGGCTGATGGAAATTTTCTGAATTTTCAATCACTTAACCACCCGCAGCCGTTTCAAACGCGGCGACCTAATTAACAGCATTATATCCTGTCAAGCGATCGAGAACCTAGCGACAGAAATAATGAAACGCCCCGAAGTACTTGATATTACGAACGTGATCATTAAATGATTTAAATGTACGGAATATAGATAAATTATGAGATATTTTTCTGCGTATATTACAGATATAGCAAGGCTCTTCATTGCTTAATTCGATACATGCTCGAGCCGGATCCCGATGTACGCCCTGACATTTATCAAGTTTCCGTGATCGCTTTCCAAATACAAGGCAAGGAGTGTCCTGTGCAAAATTTACACGTACGTTGACAATTTACACGATAATTTACGCAACTATATCACTGTGATATTTGGTTGTATGAGACACCTTTTTCGTTTAGACAATGGACTCTAGGAGTGGTAAACTTATGCTACTTTTCTTTTTACAGAAAGTTCCAACACCGACGATAGAGTCATTACCGTGCCCACCTATGGAGTCGGAAAATATCAAAAGATCAGCATCTGTGAAAACGCCAAAGCCCACGCCTATAGCAGCGGTTGAGGGCACATCTGTGACACCAAGACAGAGACCAAAAGGCCAGGCCGTTAGCACAGGTCCTATCAGTCTAAGTGGTCAGATTGTGGGACAGATATCGGGCCAAGGAAACCAAGCGCAGAATCCACCGGGAAATTCCATTTCTTACGTTCAAGTGAGTTAGCCTTATAGACTTATCGTTATCACCGCTTTATTTGTTGAAACTTCCAGAGAAAGATTCTTAGATATTCTCGGTGAATTTGTAACGGGTGTTATAGTTATTATTCCTTTTGTCAATGCACGAGTATCCGAATGTTATTTTGCAAGCCGTTGAACGTGCTAAGGCATGTTTTATAACTTCAGTATGGAGCATGTTTACCAATCTACTTTGTTGTTTGAAGATCTTGTGGAGTGATAATAAAAATAATAATAACAGCTCTATTGGTTACGAAAGAAAAGAAATAAAAAATCAAGAAATAGTATAGAACAGAGATTTTGTGGCCAAAGAATGCGGCCATTTCTACAAAAAAAAAAGCCGAGATAACAGCATAATAACTTTACCATTGCTTTTACCTTGCTTGAAAATGCAATAGAAAAGAATATTCGAAGCTACAACGTCGTCTTCGCAGTGCCGTGTGCTGCAATATCCAAGTGCTCGGTGCACTTGATAAAAAGATAAGTTACTCATTAACAAAAGGATTAATGTAACCATTTTATTCTCAGGTATCGCCACATGTTTGCACTCCCAGTCAAAACGTTCCTTTCGGTCAGTCACCGGGACAGCCGACGCAGTATGGTCAATCGCAGAGCCCGATGATCAGTCACTCTCCTCTAACGCAACAGTCACCTGTGACCGTTCAAGATAAGAACTCATTTTACTTCGATTCGAGGCAACACGACGCACGAGCCGCGACGAACGTGAACGAGAAGAATCTGGAGGCTCTATTTCCACCGTCAGGTAATTCAAACAAGACGCGAACGCGAGAACATAGTACGACGAAAATTGCAAAGCAATTGACTGATTCTTTTTGTTTGTTGATGTGACAGGATATCCGGATCCGTTTAAGGACGACGCGAGAGCGATGCCACCGCCTACTAAGATACCACCTCTTGTGGCTCCAAAGCCGGCGAAGATCCTTCCAAAACTTTCCAACCCCAGTTTCTCGTCGTCCAAGTACCCGCCAGTCGCTTCGTTACCGTCGAAATTGTCCATTCCTCCCACGGGGCCTAACAAAGCGGCTCCGACAGTCACACCGCCAGCTTTACCGAAGCCGGTCAACAAAACTGAGAGTTTGAGCCAAAATATCAGTTCGAGCACATCTCCACCCGACAGTCCAACATTGGCGTCCTCACGGCACAGGAGAAACGTCAGCGACACGAGCGCTTTCAATAAGTAAGCTTGTGTTTTGTTATTAAAATTTATTTTTAACACAGGAATTTGTTAAGCATAAACTAATGTGTCCCAACCCATATAACACAAATATCCAAAATACAGAAATGTCTCAGAGATACCACACATCTCCGGCACGTCTTTAGGATGTATCTTGGACATTTGTGCTGTATAGGAATGAATCTCGGTTAAATTAGCGTCCGAGAGTACAGGGAAAGTTTGAGAGACTGGAATTCACGTCCACACACAATCTATCAAGATATTTTTATTGATATTACAATGGTCACACATTTTGATGTTCACAGAGCATTTGCAACTGAAACCACTCAATTCTTAGCGCCATATGAGGCTTCCGTTAAGCCACGTGCTGATGATACCACACCTCCAGAACTTCCAAGTGATATAAGGCCTTGTATAGCAACTAGTGCCTCGCATGTACGTGTTGTAAGTACATAAAGTGCACAATTTTATTTTTATTTTTGTTGACGCTGTTTACAAGAATGTGTTATTGATTTCTTTATTGCCATTGATTTTAAATGTTTATGTTTATTGTTACATGAAAAAAAAATAATTTTTTTTTGTTACATGAAGTTTTAAAGTAAAAGATAAAGTTCTTATACAGTTTTATTTTTTTTCCTATTTATAGAATTAATTTTTTTACATGTTTATCATTATTTATCTTTATTTTACGCACTGCACCATTGTCAATAAGTGATACTATACAATTTCCTTACTAAGAAGTTTTTTCTTAGATTTAGTTAGGATATTTGAAAACTTTGTTAAGAATTAGCTAATAAAAAAGAGGAATCTGAAGTTACATTGTCGCAATTATATTTTATCGATGCAAGAGAGTGATAGTTTGAACTTTGGTCGTATCTAAGTGATACAATAGGAATTGACGTGAAAAGTCATTTTGCATTATCGAGTAACATCTGTCTACGTTCATATCAGGGTGAACTTTCAAGCCTAATAGGATCAGAAGGGAGATCATTGAGCGCGGATGTAGCTGCATGGAATCCGTTCGAAGATGTACAGCCTTTTAATCAGTTAACAGAGGATCATATCTTTGGTGCTGAATTCGATAAAATAAGAAGAGGGAGCAACACCAGTATCAGTGGAGTGAAAAGTCGCGAAAGCCTTGTTATGACGTACACAGAGTTACCAGAGGATCCCTTTGAATCCGCACCCTTTAGCCTGCCAAGTGAGTATCTCCATGAGATTTTGTACTTATTGAAGAAGAAAGGAAATAACACGAACATATAACGTTGACTATTATAAACCCGAAGTTTCTGTTAATTATCGCATTCTCTTTTAGCAGGAAAGAAGAACAAAATTGGATCAAAGACTGCTGCTATTGCTGGAGGTAATGCATAAAATCCTACTTACACTGTCCTTCATCTCTCTCTTCCACTTATCCTACATTATCTATTAATCTATACTTGTCTCAAAGTCGCTATGAACACGCTCGCTGTCTCTTAATACTTAGTTTCTTACATTTGCCGAGTCATTGCTACATAAGATTCTAAACTGTAGTCATAACCATTGTCTTTCGTCGTTTTCGATGAGTTCTCAGTTGCGTATACGAAGTAACTTCGGCAAATTTAGTACTTGGATTTATCAAACAATTAGTATCGAAAAATTTATCACACAATATGCTGAAAAAGAAATTGTCAATCTTTTTTTTATATATATTATAAGTATGTAGAATTTTTATGGATTGATATGAGCGTCAATGCCATTTATATTAATGTGATTTTCTAATAATTTATCATATCTAACTTATTGTAAAACTCGTTGAATTGCCTTGTAAATATTACAGTGCCAGAGGTAACTTTGGTATACGACTCAGACTACATCCAAAATCATATTTTTAGCTTTATTTAGAACCTAAATATGAAAATATTCATATGTTGAATACGTCACAACTACGGACTTCGAACATCACATTTTTCATACTTTGAAACTAATTAAGTCAAAACTAGATAAACTTAATCATTTTTATTTTAATTATATAACAATTGTTCCCTTTCTCTTCAGTTTTTTCTCTTCTTGTTTTACGCGATTGACCAAATCGTTAAACTTATTAAACATTTCGTACCACTTAAAAAACGAATTTTTATTTAATAAGATTTTTTTTCACAAAGTAAAACATTTTTAAAAAAAGTTTAAACATTACAAAACCAAGTTAAAACATGATTTTTTTCTGTATTCTTTATCTTCTAATCTGAAAATCTTAATTTAATTTGCGAATTTCTTATGTTTTATTGACGTCATACCATTCAAATGACCATTGAAGAGGGCTATCTATAAATTCTAGTGTATTTATACAACATGTTTGTGGACAATAGATGTAGATAAATGCTGAAACAATGTTGGTCAGCATGTTATACTTTTGTGCACTTCCATGTACATAAATCTTAATTTTTATTAATAGACAGAAAGACGCAACGGTAAATGAGAAAAATTTTTCGAGATAATGTAGAAAGTAACAGTGCTTTCTCTCAATTTAACTAATATTGTATATAAAACTTGATTTGTGATACAACAATCAGTTATTGCTTATATAACATTGGTTATACCGTTATACTTCACGAAATTGAGAGAAGTTAAAAACTTTTATATATTTTTTTTAAACTAATATATATGTAAATAAGTGAATCGTGGATTTCTACTACCGTTTATTTCGCCAAAGATAAGTTACGAAACTTAAGCACTATCATAGTTACAAACGAAAATTAATATTACTTTGGTGTTAATTATAGTTAATTTCAAAAATATTTGGTGCTCCTTATTTCGAACAAATTTTAATTTTTAAACACATTTAAGTCACATTTGACAAATATGATAGGATAGACAATTGATAGAAAAAAAAGTATTATTTATGAACAAATTTTTATTTCTACTTATGAAATGAAGTTGGATGTAGTTTATCTCAAGAGTATTTCCAAATTAGATCGAATAGAATAGTGCCTCCACAGGCGTTAGTAACAAAAGATACGGATTGGTCTGGAGTTTTTTTATTTGCTCACAATATCATTTACAAGATATAATTGGAAATTCATAAATTTAACGTTTTATTGTTAGACACGTATGTGAATGTTTATCCAGATTATTTCTGTGCTTACTAAAGTGCGCTTATTAAAGATAGTCTATTCGTAAAGATATCATGGAAGATTTTTTTTTTTTTATATAAATGTGTTGTTAACAGCTTTAAAAATACTTCATTAATATCGCGAAAGTTTCGATAAAGACGATTGGAGTATTTTATTATTTACTAGCAAGAGTATATTTGCGAAAAAATAATAATGTGATGCAAATCTGCTCAGTTATGCTCAATTACGCGAAAGGAATGGTGAACATTACAAATGAATTACATAACATTAACTTCTACTTACCTCAAATAGTAAGTTATGTAAAAAAACGTAAAAATAATACATCGAATATTAGACTCAAGACATTTTATATATATATATATATATATATATATATATATATATATATATAT